ATGACTTGTAATGAATAGAATATGGTGGACTGAGAATGTATGACTTCAAGTTAGGCCAGAAAGAGTACCGCAGTTTTTGCCCCGCTTTCTCTTGGATGATCCACCCTAGGAGAAGCCAGCTGCTATGCCACTAGGACTCTCAAGCATCTCTGTGGAGACAGACAAAGTGAGGTCTTCTGCCAACAGCCAGCATCAACTTGCCAGCCAAATAAATGAGCCATCTTGGAAGCGGATCCTCCAGCCCCAGTCAAGCCTTCAGATAATTGCAGCCCTGGCCAAAAGTTTGACTGCAACCATAGCTTGACTGGATCCAAACCACCCAGCTAAGATGCTTCAGAATCACCATGAGAGATAACAAATGCTTGCTGATGTTTTAAATTGCTAAGAGGGAGGGATCTGGAGAGACCCAGCAGGAGGAAAAGGTTTTTGTTTTCTGGATCAAGTGCGCTCAGCTGGCAAGCTCCTGTAGTGCAAAGAGCTTCACCCCTGCCCAGTCCCTAGAGTGACCAGCAACGCCAGTAGCTAGGAGCTTCTCCTGACACTGACCCCCGTGGGCAGTAATGTAAGCAGAGAGCCTTCACCTCCAGCAGCATTTGCAGATTCTCCAGCATCCAGCACCCACTGTGCATGTGGCTTCTCCAGCACGAGGCTCCTAGATCATGCATGAGCTCTCTAGCATCAGGCTTCTGCAGTCCATAGAGGCCAGCAGCACCCAGCGGGCAGCAGCTTGCCCTGTACCCTGCCCAGGCAGTTTTCTTTTTTTTTTTTTTTTAATTTTTTTTTTCAACATTTATTTATTTTTGGGACAGAGAGAGACAGAGCATGAACGGGCGAGGGGCAGAGAGAGAGGGAGACACAGAATCGGAAACAGGTTCCAGGCTCTGAGCCATCAGCCCAGAGCCTGACGCGGGGCTCGAACTCACGGACCGCGAGATCGTGACCTGGCTGAAGTCGGACGCTTACCCGACTGCGCCACCCAGGCGCCCCACCCAGGCAGTTTTCTAGCCTTTGGTCTGGCAGCCCCCTGTGAAGAACTTTCCTTGGCATCCCAGAGGGCAGATCTCTGGCAAGTTTCACTCTCATGACAGTACAGTGACTTTTCTGACATCTGTCGAGCCATAGGCTATGTACTCAACAAGGTCTGGAATTCAGCCGTAGTGGGGGATGGGGGGTGCCTCTTCCTTGGGTGCTCTTTCCTCGACCTCAGCCATGGGGGGTAGGGGTTACTCCTAGATCTACTATTCATGTATTCTGTACCCTTTACTCACCAATTCTTTTGTTACTCTAATCACCTGGGGTAATAATTATATTAAAATGTCCCCGTTCAAGTTACTGTGGGGTTTCTCTCTCTTGATCGGACCCAGATTGAGACATTGTGTTTTGTCATAGTTTCTTACACAGCAACAAATAACCAATACACCCCTCCCCATCTCATTGCCCATTGCTAACTCCCCTTTTATTACCATCAGCCAATGGTTACCATGTACCTACGCACAGTAGGCTCTTCCTTCAAGGTTTTTATCAGGAGCCATATATGACCTACCGCAAAAAGAAGAACAAAGTTTTTAACAAAGCTTTAATTAGCCAAATGCCAGATATAAGGATCAGACGTGAAGGGCTGCAGGAAGCAGCAAAGGCTTGTTGGAGAAAGCTCTAGGCTGCAGTAGGGTGTCACCCAACTCTGATGACTCTATAGGACACAGCCCAGTAGAAAGGAAAGAGAAGAGCATTGTAGGTAGGGGGAACATTGTGTCAACAGCCTAGAGGCAAGACCCCATGCGGTAGAAGTAGGGCAGCAGTGACTAGTTCACTCCAGTTTGGCTGGTGAAGAGATTTGACGTGGTAGGCTGATGGCAAGCAAGGTGACCAGATCGTGAAGGTCCTTGAATACAAAGCTAATTCGTTTGGCACCATCATGTAAAAAAGAGGTCCGGTGACCATATCTTTGAGGGCACAACTCAACCTACTTTTGTTGTCAGTACAATTATACTTGTCAGATCACGAGACTTTGCTTTGGAGCTGAGAAAAAGTTCACCATGACGGTTGGGAAGCTGTGAATGTTTTTGAGGATGATGCAGTGTGGCGTTCTGAAATTAGCCTGGAGTGTGTAGGGTCAAAGAGAATGGAGACCAGAATTAGAAAACTCGGGATTCCTGATGTAGGGAATAGGGTAGCAGCAGTGGAAAATGAAGAACTGGGTAGATGTGGGATGTTCTGGATGGTTGGCTGGATGTGGTGGACAGAGGTTGAAGGTGATGCCCAGTACTTAGCTGGTGACATAGGAACAGAGGGAGCTGGCTGAGGAGTGGGTAGGATGATGTTGGCTTTTGACAGGTTCCACTGGGGTCACTGCAGTGTATCCAAGAAGCAGGAAGGAGCCGCCCTCAGGCCTGCACTCAGGAGAGAGACAAGGGCTGATGATTCAGATCTGGTAGTGATGTCCACTCAGAGGTGACAAGTCAGACTTTGGGAGATGGTGATGAGGATGGTCCCCAAGTAGGAACCGGCTCTCTGATCAGCCCATCCTCATCAACAACCCTCCTCCCACCCCCACTGACCCAAGAGATGAGGTCCTGGGTCGGGAATTCAGTGGGGACACATTTCCCCAAGTACTCAGTCCTAAACAGACCCCTAAAAGCCAAAAGCACTGTCTTCCTCAACTGCCACAGATTCTGGATTAGAATCCAGAGTCCGCTCTCATGGGGCTCAGGCCAAGGAATATGAAAGCAAAAAGCTTGAGTCTAGGAGGCTCTAACCCTATTTCTGCCCCAGATCAGTCATGAAACCTTGAGCAAATCACTTTTCCTCTTTGGGTTTGTTTTTTCTTTCAGCAAAATGACAGAGTTGGCCTTAGAATAGACCAGGGTCCTGCCCCTAAGACCACGGGTTCTTTAGCTGGGCCAACATGTTCTTCCTCCTAAATCAAGTAGTAGCAGATAGAACCACTCCAATTTTAGGGTTTTCTCCCATAACGTTTTCTCTTTTTTTAATGTTCATTTATTTTTGAGAGAAAGGGCGACAGAGCATGAGTGGGGGAGGGGCAAAGAGCGAGGGAGACACAGAATCCGAAGCAGGCTCCAGGCTCTAAGCTGTCAGCACAGAATCTGTTGTGGGGATCAAACTCATGAACCATGAGATCATGACCTGAGCCAAAGTCAGACCCTCAACCGACTGAGCCACTCAGGTGCCCCCCGTAATGTTTTCTTAAACCATTAACAACCGCTACTGTTTGTTTTCCAGATAACACAGGTAACACAATGAATGAACACATGGGAAATGCACTATCTGGGAATTCTGAAAATAGGTGATCATATTTGGTTTGACAGTCTTCTTGTTTCTGGAGACTACATGGTTATGGTTTTATATTATTCACATAATCACTCCGGTTTCTTTTTTTTTTTTTTTCCAACGTTTTTATTTATTTTGGGGACAGAGAGAGACAAGCATAAACGGGGGAGGGGCAGAGAGAGGGAGACACAGAATCGGAAACAGGCTCCAGGCTCCGAGCCGTCAGCCCAGAGCCTGACGCGGGTCTCGAACTCCCGGACCGCGAGATCGTGACCTGGCTGAAGTCGGACGCTTAACCGACTGCGCCACCCAGGCGCCCCTCACTCTGGTTTCTAAAGCTAAGTTCTAGTGGCATTTCAGGGTGCTTCTTAGAGAGTTCTGGGACTCCCCGGTGCCTGCAACCCAAAGAGACTGGTCTGCAGACACATAGGACTCAATGCTCTCTAGGACCTTCCCAGTGTCAATCTTTCACTCTCTCAATCTTCGATCTTTGGTGAATACCCTTCGCGTGCAGAACATTGTGTCTTACATTCACTAACTCACATATCCCTCATGTAATCCTCTCAACAGCCTCAGAAGATAAATTCTCTCATTATACAGATTATTATATATGTCATTTTATAGGTGAAGGGACTGAGGCTCACATGGGGTACGTGGCTTGCCTAAAGTCACACAATCAGTACGTGACAGAGCTGTATTTGAACCTGAGAGTCTGATTCCAGAGCTCTCACTCTTCTAATACGCCTGCAATCTCTGTCATTAATGCTTTTTCCACCAAATATTTTCAGTTCTTGGACACATAGTAAGACTGATCTCCCCTACCCTCTATGGCTAGTGAAGTGCGAGCATCATTTCTGGTGTAACTTTTTTTTTTTTTATAATGTTTATTTATTTTTGAGAGAGACAGAGAGACAGAGTGTGACGAGGGGAGGGGCAGAGAGAGAGCGAGACACAGGATCTGAAGCAGGCTCCAGGCTCTGAGCTGTCAGCACAGAACCCGAAGCAGGGCTCAAACTCACCAACCGGGAGATCGTGACCTGAGCTGAAGTCGGTCACTTACCCGACTGAGCCACCCAGGCGCCCCTCTGGTGTAACTTTCAAGAGCCAGTGATCACTGTCACCTTCCCTTTTCCTTCTCTAGGAGTTGTAGATACACAGTGAAGATCCACCCTCAGCCTTGGCCACAGAGAGAAGAGGATTTGGAAGAGACACCTGTCCCTCTATCGCCCCAGCTGTAGGCATGTAGTAGGAATAAGAAATAATCTTGTCAGGGCACCTGGGTGGCTCAGTTGGTTAAGCCTCCAACTCTTGGTTTCAGCTCAGGTCATGATCTCACAGTTCATGAGTTCAAGCCTCACGCCGGGCTCTGTGCTGCCAGTGTGGAGCCTGCTTAGGATTCTTCCTCTCTCTCTCTCTCCCTCTCATTCTGTGTCATTACTGGCCCGTGCTGAGTAAGCCCATGCAATACTGTCTCCTGCTGATTATCTTTGGCCTCTGTCCCCGAGACGTGCCTTCTCCCTAAAACTCCCTTAAAGCACTGGCTCCACATTCAAATTTTAAAAGCAGCAGGGGCAGAAGGGACCTGTCCCCTAAGCAGAGAAGTGGGGACGTGTTCTGGGAGATGCACCCATGCTTTGCCATGCTCCGTGTAGCAATCAGGCCGGCTGAAATCCCCACCCAGCCCCTGGAAGGCCCTAAACAGAAACTGCTCCTCACGCTTTTCTCCCATAGTCATTTATTGGCTCTCCTTAATTTTATTCCCCGCTATTAAAGTAGGAACGGCTGGGCTGGCAGACGGAGGGCCGGACTCCCACATCCTGGGAGCACTGCAGGCTGACTATGACCTTGCAGGCCTGGATCTGAACCTCCTCCTCAGGGTGGATGACCAGAGCGAGCAGCCGGTCTGCCAGTCGTGACTCATCCCCAAAAAGAGCTTCGTGCAGCGACTGTTCATTGTAATGCCACTTCACGGCACGGTAGTGGGGTGAATTCCGGCCCTCACTTAGCCGCTCGGCAAACACCAGGACCTCAAACAGCAGACTCCCTGGCTGTGTGGACTGAAACAGGTTCAGGAAGTTGGCATGCACCTGTGACGGGAGCGGAGCGACAATGGCAAAGAAATCCAAGACAAGTTCTAAAGTTCTTCCATCTTCCTATTGCCTCAGCTCCCCAGTACCTAAGCTTCAGATTCAACTGAATAGGATTTTTGTAGTTTTCCTTTCATTATCATTCTCTAACACAACAGCAATGTGGTCGTAAACCATGAGAGATATGATCACAACGTTGATTCTGGGAAATCTGTTGAGTCAAATATTAACGCTTGTCATGTGGTTAACTTTTATAAATATTTTTATTTTGGGGTGCCCGGGTGGCTCAGTTGGTTGAGCATCTGACTTCGGCTCAGGTCTTGATCTCGTGGTTGGTGAGTTCAAGCCCCACATCAGACTTGCTGCTGTCAGCTCAAAGCCCACTTTGGATTCTCTGTCCTCCCCTCTCTCCCTGCCCATCCCCTGCTCATGTTCTTTCTGTCTCACATTTTTAAAAAATAATATTTTTTTTGTGTGTGTGAGAGAGAGAGGCAGAGGGGTAGAGGGAGAGTGACAGAGAAAATCTTTTTTTTTTTTTAATTTTTTGAACGTTTATTCATTTTTGAGAGACAGAGCATGAGCGGGGGAGGGGCAGAGAGAGAGGAAGACACAGAATCAGAAGCAGGCTCCAGGCTCTGAGCCATCAGCACAGAGCGCCACACGGGGCTCGAACTCACAAACTGTGAGATCATGCCCTGAGCGGAAATCAGACACTCAACCGACTGAGCCACCCAGGGTGCCCCAGAGAGAAAATCTTAAGCAGGCTCATGCCCACCACTAAGCCCAATATGGGGCTCAATCCCATGACCCTGGGATCATGACCTGAGCCAAAATCAAGAGTTGGACGCCTAACCAACTGAGCCACCCAGGTGCCCCAATTTTTAAAAATATGTTGTGTGTTTGACATGAATGTGCATTTACTAATTGTGAAGTGTTCTTTACAATTGTAGGTGTGTCTAGTGGCTCAAGCTTATTTAAGTTATTCACAGCAAATATACCCTTACTAGTTTTCGGTTTTTATCTATTAATTGCTGAAAAAATAATTAAAATCTCCCAAATCTTCCATTGTGGTGGAAATGTGTCAGTTTTTTCCTTAGAATGATTCAGCCGTGAGAAGGAAGAAAATCCTACCATTTGTGACAACATGGATGAACTTTGAGGACATTATGCTAAGTAAGATAAGCCAGACAGAGAAAAACAAATACTGCATGGTATCACTTATTGGTGGAAACTTAAAAAAAAAAAAAAAAAGTCACACTCGGAAACAGAGAATAGAAAAATGGTTGCCAGGGGCTGGCAGTGTAGAAGAAATAGGGAGACATTGGTACAAGGATATAAACTTTCGGCTATACGATAAATAAGGTCTGAGGATCTGATGTAAAACATGGTGATTAGAGTTAATAACACTGTATCATATAATCAAAATTTGCTAAGAGAGTAGAACCTAAATGTTCTCACACACACAAAAGGTAAATATGTGAAGTGATAGATATGTTTGCTAATCAACCAGATAATGAGAATCCTTTCACAATGTATTATCTATATTATATCAAATCACCACTATGTACACTTTAAGTATCTTACAATTTTATCTGTCCATTATACCTCACTAAAACTGAAGAAAGAGGAAAAAATGTTTTCCTTGTAATTTTATCAAGTTTTTGCCATATAATTTTTTTTAAATTTTCTTTAATGTTTATTATTTTGAGAGACAGACACACACACACAATGCAAGTGGGGGAGGGGAAGAGAGAGAGGGAGACACAGAACCCAAAGCAGACTCCAGGCTCTGAGCTGTCAGCACAGAGCTGGACGTGGGGCTGGAACTCACAAACAATGAGATCATGACCTAAGCCGAAGTAGCACGCTTAACCGACCGAACCACCCAGGCGCACCTTGCCATATAAATTTTGAGGTTATGTTATTAGGTTCATATAAGTTAAGAGTTACTTTATCCTTCTGACCTAATTATTATGTAGTGACCCTGTCTATTCCTAATAATGGTTTTTGTTATAAATAACTCTTCTCTAATATGAAAATACCTACATTGTCTTTTGTTTTGTCGCCTGGATTCCTGGCTCTCAGAGTTCAGAAAGCCCTTTAAAGGAGAATCCTCCTCCTAACAAAATGAATTCTATTCTATTGGGAGAATGGAAAAGGGGATGTTTTTCAACATATCTCGTGCAAAGGCATGAAGAGAAACAAGACGATCTTGTTAGGGCTAAGTCTGCCTGGGGAATCCGTGATTCTTCCTTCCCCAATATCTGAGTTGGTATCCATCAACCCTTCTTCAGTTCCTTTCTCACCTGGCAGTTGAGAATATCATAGAGAAGGTCGTTCTTCTGTGCCAGGTAGCTCAGCAATCGAATGGCTTGCACCTGAATAAAAGAAAGAGCAAAACATGAGAAGGCAAATTACTCTGGGCCCGAGCAGGGAATGCACAAATCTCTGTTCCTCCCTCTAGGTGCTGGTGCAGGGCTGGTCAGGAGTGGCAGGGCCTGGGCTACGGTCCTCAGGCACCTGTGCCAGGATATAGTCCGACTGCAGGATCTCCATCAAGGCAGGCATCACCCGTCTCAGCTGTGGATGCACATAGTCAGGCAGTGGGAGGTTGTTGAGGAGTCTGAGGCCTGAAATGTGCAGCTCCGAATCCCAGATGCTGGCGATCAGTTCCAGGACCTTGATGGAGTGTTCCTGGGGGGTGGGGGTGGGGGGAGAAGGATCTGCTTTTATGTGGTGATCCCCAACACTGTCCCAGCCTCTGCCTTCACTCTTCCCTGCCCCACCCATGATGCCTGAGCCAAACCCAGTAGACAATTCCCTCTAACTTACACTCTTGTTATTTGACCTCTTAGGCCACTCCTACCTCCTTTCTCCCCTTGGCTTCTCGTCCACAGAAGTCTTTCCTGGTTCTTAGGCCTAACCTTTTCTTCTCTATCTTCATCTCTCCCTTAGTGATATCATCCAGACTCACAGTGTTAAATACAATTGACGCTGATGCCTTTCAGCTTTCTGTCTCCAACCCAGACCTCTCCCTGAACTCCAGATTCATATATTCAGGTCCCAATTCTACCTCAACCCAGAATGCTTTTTAGAGTATTTTATTATTTTTGAGAGAGAGAGCATGAGCAGGAGAGAAGGGCAGAGAGGGAGGGGGAGAGAGAGAGAGAGAGAGAGAGAGAGAAAGAGA